CTGGTATCGGTTTCATATATTCGTTTACACAAACTACAACAAATTTACAAATTATGTACCTGTATTTCCTGACAAGAGGAGACATCAGTAACTGTTACTTAACTGAAACATGAACCACTTGTCTGTCTTTCCAAACCTGCTAATCTGCTTTGTGTTTGTGTGATCCTCACTGTTTCCTTCCCCATGTACAGCTGGAGTCGTACTGATACTTCGTAGTGATGCTTGCTACTGGGGACCACTTACTCTGGGCCTCTATGGAAGGCAGCTGTTATTCTCTACCTTTAAATCAAGCATGATTTAGTATGTAAACAGCTCACTTGGCCTATTTTGTTTGCTCTGCATGTAAAAAAGTAGATTAATATAAACCTGAAATACGTGACTGTGCAGTCAATCATTGTGGATATATTGTGTACTTTGTACACTTGTTTTCTTTAACCTCCCAAAAGAGATGAGAACCAGGTTATTAGAAATGGAACTGCTGTAGATCCACTGCTGTGGTGCTCAGCTGTGTCAGTCAGTGCTCTAGAGAATGCTGTGACCCTGCATGAGAAAGAAACATTCCTTATTGGACTGTATTTTTTTATTAATCACCTTTGCAAAGGTGGGCTGTTGTGCGGCCGTGCCCGAGGGGATCGTCTTGCTTCACTGCTTACATTTTACCTCAGCATGTCATTTGACACGTCTTCTGCTCACCTTTTGAAATTGAGAGGCCACTGACGAACACAAATTGTAAGTCATTTATATTCACTAGTCTATTTAGTAGTCAGTTTAGTCTCATAATGACCTGACTGACTCATTTGTGATTTTTTTATACATTGCACAACACCAAGATGAAAACAGCACATTTACCAAGCATTCATCTCACGGGTTTTTATTTACCTCACAGCAGAACAGCTGCACCTTATTAATCAGAGCATGAGAAATATGACATTGCATGAAGTTACTTATTTATAGATTATGCAGGCACACTTCTGGGTATTATTCAACTGTTGGAAAGCTTGTGCTCAATTTTAAGATATGAGACATTTTTACGTAAATGCTTTAAATGTTAGTTGCTTGTATATAACGTTTTCAAGTTTCTGATTTTAACTGTGTCCACGCAATGAGGTCACCACGCTAAACTTGTATACAGTTACATACAATTGTGGAGTATTGGGCCAGCAAGCCAGGAGCTAAAAGTATGTTTGTTTTCTAAGATGACTATAAAAGTTAAGGGGTGGATGGTAAAATTACCATGTCCATGCAAATTCTCAGTCATCCAGGTCATAGTATGCTGAAAAAACCTAGAAGAAGGCATCTGGACGTAGTTTTAGAGATGCCAGATGCCTTCTTCTAAGTTTTTTCAGCATGGTAGAATTAACCAATAAGACAAGGGGCAGAGTGCTCCTTTGGTAAAACAGAAAGAAAGGGTAAAATAGAGTGTACTCCTGCTAGGAATCCATTGAACAGAGTTTAAACAAAATGCTCAGACCACTATTATCTGTAAGAGCTCCATGCTGCTGGCCAGTACTGTCCCGGCTTAGCAGCTTATTCTGTTTGGGCTACAGGTTACGTAAGAAAGCTATATGCAGCAGGAGGCTAATCCAGTGCCTTAATGCCAATTATCAGCTCATGGTGACTTTGAAATTAAGGCACCATAAGAGTTGATAACGGTTGGGATTTGAGTTGTTATATTATGTGTAACAGCCTTTAAACAAGCTGCCTCCAAAAGTACTGCTAAAGCAGAATAGCTTTGTTATTTCAATCATCAAACATGACTACTAATTTAAATTTATGTTAGCATACCAACAGACATGATCACTGAAAAAAAGGAAACACTGGGTCTTTGGATTTACACAAATTATGCTAGCATATGCAATGCAATTCATTCATGTTTCCTCTGTTAACATAAAGAAAATGATGCTGGTCTTACACATTATCATTGTGTGGGACCGATGTACACATTACAATCAAGTAAATCCAACAAATCTTTTTTTTCAGTGTAGGTGCCCCACACCCATGGTCTGATTTGAAGCATACTGTAAATCATACTGTGAAGTGCATATACTGTCAAGTCAACAACACACAAATCCAAAAGTAGTTGGTAGGGGAGTACTTTTACATGCCAAAACTCGTCTTTGGTATGATAATTCACACAAGGCCTGGGTTGACATTCTTAGAAATATCACATAATCTCTGTACTTTCATAGTAGCACCCCCGTGTTTTCACCCAAGCTCAGTGTTAATGCTTTAAACAAAGTGTGGATGAAAATAAACATACATAGCAAAGAGCCACTCTACAGTAGGTCACGCTGTTGGGACAGAGGGGGCAGACAGGAGTGTGTGGGGCAGGCACGCTAGAAAAGCTCCACATCAAAATAGCAACATTTTAGAGACAAAGAGTTTCCCAGCTATTCAAGGGAATAATGGCTTATTACTGGCTTAAATATAAAGTACAACTGCAAAATATGTAATATGTATGTTTGTGATGTGCCTGTGCTATTAAGCATCACATCACACGTGCATTTTGTCACATGCAAATAAGAAGCAAATTTTGGAGCAGCTCAACAAACACTCTGGCAGATGTTATGTTTCTGTTTTCCATTTTTGCATTTTGCCAAAATGATTTTCAGAACCCGGATCTTTGGGCGGTAAACAGGGCATGTGAAAATGAAAGCGTGTCAGCTACTGTAGGCAGTTGTCCTTTGTCAAAACAAGCATGTTGTGACTCAATACAAGATGTGCAGTTCTGCTGTTGGGAACAGCATTAAAAAATTGTGGGTCATATGATTTGTCAAGAGCACAAATCAGACAGTTTCCCCATCCTCACTTTTTTTTTTATTTCTCTTTTCAACAGCCACGGTACACGGTTTTGTGGTGCCAGGATGAAGAAAGTCATGGACACTGCCCTGCTGTTGTTGCTGCTATTCTTCACAGTGCATGCAAACAGAACACGTAAGTGTTTAGATGATTGAAACACAGTCTCAACTGGCTCTTACGTTTCTGACAATGAATTAAGACCTTTGAGAGGATCTTCTGCTGATATGAATCATGCCAGGCAAAAACAATTCTCAGAAGACCTGTGATCAAGAACTGCTGATTTGCATAAAGCTGTCAAGTTTCTTTTGATCAACCACAAATTAGCCTCAAGGGACTTAACAACCTCTCCAGCTTACAATACCCTCTGCCCTTAGAACCTGGAATTTGATGAGGAAAACTTCCCCGAAAAAAAAAACTTTAATGGGGAAAAAAAGTTGGAAGAAACCTTATAGAGTAACAGAGGATGGGTGCAAAAGATGTCACGTGTAACACAGTAATGTCAAAGAGTTCAGGAAGCCACAGTTAAACAGCCTGTCTCTAAATAGAGACAATTTAGTCCTGTGACATCCATCCATCCATCCATCTTCATCCGCTTCATCCAGGATCGGGTCGTAGGGGTAATAGCCTGAGCAGAGCCTCCCAGACTTCCCTCTCCCCACACACCTCCTCTAGTTCCTCAGGAAGAACCCCAAGGCGTTCCCAGGCCAGCCAGGAGATGTAGTCTCTCCAACATGTCCTGGGTCTGCCCCAAGGCCTTTTCCCCAGAAGGGACATGCCCGGAATACCTCCCCAGGGAGGCGTCCACGGGGCATCCTAAACAGATGCCCGAGCCACCTCAACTGGTTCCTGTGACAAACTTTTAAAAAGAGTAACAGTCCTAGAGTAACAACTAAACGCTTAAAGGAATCACTGGAGCAGGTTAATAGAGATCATGTGGAATGACCTCAAGAACTCATACTGGGAGTCTTAAAAATATGGTAATTTTGTAAGGAAGCCGCTTCCAGAGTTCCTCCTGAATGTTGTGAAGGTCTGATCCACAGCTACCAGACACACTTGTTGAGGTTATTGCTGCCAAAGGAGGTTCCACAGGTTATTAAATCCACCAACCTTCCGACCAGTACTGAATGTTTAGCGGGTAAGACACAAAATATTCTAATAGTTTGTGTTTGTCAGTGCGTCATATACCATTTTATGACCAGTTAATGCAGAAAACCAGGCCATTCCAAAGGGCTCAGACACTTTAGAATTTGCTTTCTTTTCCTCTTCCTATATACTGCTGTCTGTCTTTAGACTACAGACCACCAGGGAAACCAACACGGGCCAGATGTCGTTCTCCTGAAAAAGAGACCTTCACCTGCTGGTGGGAACCGGGCTCTGATGGAGGACTGCCCACCACCTACGCCCTGTACTATCGCAAAGAAAAGTGAGTGGCTCCCACTACCATGCAGTGACACATTTACTTCATTTTGTTTTACTTTGGAAAATGTATTACTTTACTGATGGGTGCACACAGTGAGAATCAGTGGTGCGGTTGGATTGTTAGCAGGCACCAATATGTTCATCATCATAAAAGAGGTCTAAGGTGTACATTAGGAGCTGGATTGATCTCGTCCAGACTGTGGAGCTCTGTGCGTCTATGTGTATAATCAGTATTCAATTAGATCAAGCTAGACTATCTAAATAATTAAAAATATCAGTATGGAGAACTCTCAGGCACTTCATAGTTATTTTCAACACCTTCTTGAAAACAAAACATTCTAGAGATTAGGTTGGACATAATAACATAACATTGTAGCATGAAGAATGTATGCTATTCTTCAGAAAATACAACAGTGCAGTACAGCAGAATGATTACACACCTGTGTGTCCCTGCCCGTCTTACAGCTCTGACACAGTATACGAGTGTCCTGACTACCACACAGCTGGGGAGAATTCCTGCTTCTTTAACAAGAACGATACATCCATCTGGATCAACTACAACATCACCGTGGTGGCCACCAACGCACTGGGCAGCACCTTCTCTGACCCTGTGGATATAGATGTGGTGTACATTGGTGAGGGACTGAGCTCTCCCATAAGGATTTAAAAAGTAGATTTTTTACTCAGGCCTACACAGCTGCTCAGTGGCAGACTGGGTTACGCTGGGGCAAATGCTCTTTGAATGTACTGAGGTGGAAGGTCACCATTTTACTTGATGATCAAACAATGCAAAAGACAATGAGTGATTTAAATGTTGTAATATTCTGTATATTTTATTTTTGCTTACAAATCCAAAGAAAATACCCAAACAAAAAAAGGAACTGATAGTTCTAGTAAGAACTGCCAGGCTATTCTTACCCTCAGTTATTCTCCAGTATTATACATACTGTAAATACTCATAGAATTAACTTTGACATCTCTACTACTGTAGGTCCACTGACCTTATTTGTTTATCAGGCCTAAGCAATATTTATTTCCTTGTCTACGCTGTCAACTGTGAGTCTCCAAGTAGATAACCTAAAGCCTAAAACATTAACATTTATCTCGATCATGTTATCACACATGCATCAACAAATATTTGGAAGGTCATTCCTGTCATGGCAGAGACGTGTCCATTGATTTACAGTTACATACAGTAGAAGAAGCGACATTAGAAGCTCCTGCTGTAGTGGTTTAGCCTGATGCCTTACACAGTCGCAGTTGGCTTTCATCCTGTTTCTGTGCTACAAACATTATTATCAAAGTAAAGTTTTTTCTCCTCCTACCTCTCAGCCACACAAACAGAAACCATCCTGTCTCATTCACATTTTTTGGTCTCTCCTCAGTCAAGCCTAATCCTCCAGAGAAGGTGACAGTGACTGTAATGGAGGACAAAGGCTGGCCCTTTCTCCGGGTGTCATGGGAACCGCCACATAAGGCTGACACCCGCTCCGGCTGGATCACTCTCATCTACGAGCTGCGTGTCACGTTGGAGGGGGAAGATGACTGGGAGGTATGTATCTCATTGCTCATGCAAGGGAGCAGCCTGCAAATTAAAATGTTTGTATAGTGTTGATTGTGTAATGTGAAGCTAGAATTCAAGCCTCAAGCCAGTGAACTAGCTGAAGTGTCATTGACAAGGGCGCTGAATAACCACTGAGGTGTGCACGGCAGTTGACTTTAACCTTGGGCCTCTTGGTGGATATTGACAAGATAGTAATTTTTCACCAGGAAGATGTTTCTGATTAATTTCCTCATAAAATCAAATAAGGTTTGATTTTGTATATTAACATTTATAATGTATGTATTGACAACTTGAAGGACCGAATGGACAGGGTCAACTGTGTGTGTTATATTTCCAGATGCACCTCGCAGGCCAGCAGAAGCTGTTTAACATCTTCAGCCTGCGGTCAGGTGGTACATACCTTGTCCAGGTGCGCTGTAGGCCCGATCATGGCTTTTGGAGTGAATGGAGTTCCACTTCGTACATCAAAGTTCCTGACTGTAAGCCATCCACCTATAATTATCTACAGTTCACTGTACAACATGCTGTGCATTTTTTATATTAGACAGAGTGTGTGCATTAAAGGAGCAGTTCCACATTTTGGGAAATATGTTTTTTGTGTGTTTGCCAGGAGTTAGATGAGATATTAATACAACCCTGCAAATCTATATATACCCAGATATGAAGTTGCACCTAGCCTTGCTCTGTTGAAAGGTTAAGAAAGGCACTTTTCATTGGTTTAATCCATTCAAAACACCAAGTGTAAAAATGGCACATTGTGGTTTTACTTTGAGTTATGCACTGGTATTTCTTGGCTTGGAGCAGTATTTCCTCCCTAAACATTCCATTTTAACACTTTGATTTATGATACAGGTTAAAGGACTAATTCACTCGCTCATCTGCTAGTACTTCACTGGAGCACTGAAGCATGTGCTTCCTCTAGGCCGTACACTTCTGGCCAACCTCCTGGCTGCCCTGTAGTTGAGTCCCAAGCCTCTGAAGTCTTCTCCCAGGAGAGTGGTCCAGAGACAGACCAAAGCTATATATTGTGTTGAAGCACTCATGTTGTTATGTCTTACAGATTTTCATCGGGAGAAGTCTGTGTGGATCCTCATTACTGTCTTTTCTGCATTCATCTTTCTCATACTCACATGGTTGCTGCACATGAACAGCCACAGGTAAAACAGTGATTGACTTCCTTATGCAAGTGGTTAGCACTGTTGCCTCAGAACAAGAATGTTCTAGGTTTGAACCTTTCAGCCAACTTTGCAGAGTTTGCATATTCTTCCTGTGCCTCATGGGTTTCTCTGGGTGCTCTGGGTTACTCCTACAGTCCAAAGATACTGTATGTGTGTAAGGTAGATCAGGGTTAGGTTGATTGGACATGCTAAATTTCCCAGAAGGTTGTGTCAGGCAGGGCATCCAGGGAAAAACTGTGCCAAATGGAATATATGGATCAAGTGAGTCACTGTAGCAACCTCTGGTGGGGAGTGGTAAAAAGGACAGATTGATTATTAATAAACACATCATGGTATATGCTACAGAGACCCAGAGCAGCTGTAATTTTAGTATTATTTATTTTCTATTTATGCCAGCTGTCGTTTTGTTATTGCAAATGCAAGATAATAAAAACCCACAAAGAAACAGTTTAGTATCTTGAGATACTGCCATACTTAAGCTTGGATTCTAAAATAAAAAGGCTGCTACCACTCTGCGCTTTTATACATAGTATAGCATCAAGTGAAGTATTGATTTAATTATCGTCCTATATTTATTGGGGTTTTTTGCTGCTGACAAGCCCTGACATGGATCTCTCTTTGTTTTATCATGTTGAAGTCTGAAGCATTGTATTCTGCCACCAGTCCCTGGTCCTAAAATCAAAGGATTTGATAACCAGCTTCTCAAGGTAAAGTAGCAGCATATGAAATAATGTTATGATGTACACAATAACTTTCTTAATCTGCTGCAAACAGTCACTGAGCAATTTTCCTCTCTGTGTGTAGAATGGAAAGTCTGAGGAGGTCTTCCATGCAATGGTAGTGTCTGATTTCCCCCCAGTCACAACATCCAACTATGAGGACTTGCTGGTGGAGTACCTCGAAGTGTATGTCCCAGAGGAGCAGAAGCTGATACTGGAGGAAAGCAAGTATCTACACAAACTTGAGGGCTCCACATCTGACAACGACTCTGGCCAGGGCAGCCTTGAAAGCCATACTCTGCTGATGGATAAGAGGGAAGAGACAAAAGAAGAAGAGAGGCTAACAGGTCAGGAAGGCAGTCAAACAGGGATGGGGCCACAGAGGCACCAGAAGGACTGGGATGAGGAAAAGCCTTATGCTCATGAAGACATCGTTAGCCCTGCGATGTCAAGTGGGAGGGTGAAAACCTGGCCTTCTGTGTTTTCTCCACTGCCCCAGTACAGCTCAGGCCCAAAGAGCCAACTGAGCTCACTTAAGATAGCCAAACAGCACTGCCTCTCTGACAGCCTGTTTTCCTCCTACAATGCCGAGCCTGGCCACAACACCAAGAAGGCTATCGGACCAAGCTGGGAGTTCTGCTTCAGTAACAAGCAACCGCAACTCCAGGCCCACAGTGATGTCAACATCTCCAGCATTGGCCGCAACCAAGCACCTGTTTTTCGGCAGTCACCCGCTCACCAGTCCACTGAGTATGTTGAAGTCCTGAGGGTCAATGAGGAGGATATGGTGCTCCTCCAGCCTGTTGTGTTAGGCAGCAGCCACGGTAAAGGCTGGCCCCCGACACATCAGGTGGAGGTCTACAGCAAGGTGAAGGAGGTAGACAGTGACAACACAGTGCTGCTACAGAAAGAGGTGATGGATGAGGAGGTGGACAGGTGTCCTTGTGAGGACCAGGAGGTGAATGGAGCAACAGAGAGTTGCTACACATCATCCGACATTACTACCACCCAGAAGCCTGCAGGTTGCAGTCATGCTGCCATGCCGGCCCAGGATGAGATGGTCCTGGCAGCAAGTGGTTATGTTGACACTGCCACCATGTTCACACTGCCTACTTACTAGGTGTGCGGGACACTGCATGACCTGTTTTACGTAGGGACTGAGACTAACACTGGATGAGCCCTTCAGATGTGGTTGAAAAGCTAATATTTTGCTCTCACACAAATACTTTTTACTGATGACACTGCAGTGACACGTTTTGAGGATCTGAAAGAGTTTGACTGAATAATCTGATTAATAACTGTCATTCAACTTCATAACAGATATAACTGATTGTATAAATTATCGTCATAATGACTAATTATATGTCTCTCATAAATATTTTGTCATCACTGGCACATAATCATGTTTCACACCAGGAACATTTTTAAATATACTGCTCTTGTGTGTGTGTGTGTGTGTGTGTGTGTGTGTGTGTGTGTGTGTGTATGTGTGTGTGTGTGTGTCAATGAAAACCAAGAAAGTGGACACACTCTATTTTTATTTCAGAGACTATTTTGCATATATACTGTACATTTATTCCGGCTTTGATTGGTTAAGTAGTAAATTTAAAAATGTTTGGACAAATAGGTTTAGTTTTTTTGGATGGGAAAATGATACTTCGCTGGCCATGTACATCACAGCCTCTATTATTTAATAGTGTGATATCATTGTGTTTCCTCTTTTTTTGTGTGTGTGTGTACAGGTGTGTGTATCTACTGTATGTATAGCTTTATAAAGAGTCAACCGCACATACACTAAATGAAACAGCACTTTCTATAAAAATCATGTTTTTCAAATTTTGTTTCTATAAAATTTAAAGCATTATATTGCTATTGTCGCCTGTTCGCAATAATCAGTCAGTAAGTGTAAAAATTGATTGATCAGTATCTTCTGATTCTATAGCTAGTCAACAGAAATTGGCAAAAAAAGGAAGATATGAAAAGCTGACTTGTATCAAATATGATGTAACTGGATAAAACAAGCTGGGTGTTAATAATCACTAATGATGTTAATCGTTATAATATATATTATTTTTATTATAATGAATATCTTGTAAATCTTACTCAACTGTGTATTATTATTATTAATTTTAATAAATAACCAGGAGGAGCTAAGAATAAATTAGAAGTGGTGCTTCAACTATTTGTCTATCCTTTAACCCTTGTGGTAGTGGAAACGTGCAGGACCCAATAAAGATGCCTGGAGACTCGGAGTAGCTTCGAAGAATTCTTTTATTTCATGCAGCATGGAGAGAAGTCGTACACAACTTAGCAGTCGCGCAGAGTTCTCTATCTGACTGGTAAAGGGCAGTCCCTTTTATACCAAAAGTGATACAATTACACATCTATAAAACTCATACCATTGTCTCATATCTAACAACCCACATATCGTC